GATTTGAGCTCATACCAAGATAACTTAGGCAGCAGCCTACTTGAGAACCAGTCTCGGGATCTGAAAAAAGCAAAGAAGTTAATCAGCTCAGTTACTGAGCGCCCTGGCAACCATTTTAACACCGGTAGACATTAGCATTCCTACAGGAGTTTGCAAAGAGCCCATAGTTTCAAAGATTCACACTGGTCACACAGTAAAATGGTTAGTAAGTGCTATTCCTAGTAATCTCTAAATTGGACTGAGTGCTGAGTGTGCACCACATATCAGACAGAGTGGATTGTCTCTTTTATCCTCAAGCGACCACAGAAAGGAGAAGGCTGACTTGATGTTGCGCGTGGCCAAGGTTTCACAGCAAGTGCTGCACCAGGGAAAGGATCAGCCTGCGCTACCCAGAAAACAGAGCAGCCAGGAGTAGAAAAGAGTGTTTTTTCCATTTGAGGTTTTTGTGGCGATAGAAGCTGGAGCCTTAAACCTCCTCTAAATGGATTCAGTCGCTCGCAGTTTTTAATATATGCACCTTCTTTCCCACTCCCTTTTCAAACTTAAATCAAGTTCTGCTTAGTATGTATAGTAGGGTGGAGCCCAACCCCTAAGAAACACCCTCACGGAGCAGGTCTCTCTGGGGTTGCTTACCCTGGGGGTCAAGCAGAGGAAGTGGGGTGGTGAGATATCTCCATGTCTTTGGACCCCTCAAAAGCCTAGGTGTCAGGAAGTGACACAAAATGCCCTTCAGAGCTGGAAATACTGTCACAGGAGCTGTGGTTATGACATGTGTTCCTAAAGGCCCAGGGACAGTGCAGAGTCCCTGGTGCACACACACACAAATTCACAATGTGCAGATTCTAGCTCTGATTCTTTTTTCTTTCCATGATATTTATTGAGCTCTACATTTTTCTCTGCTCCCCTCCCTGCCTCTCCCCCCCTTCTCTACCCCAAGGTCCCCATGCTCCCAATTTACTCTGGAGATCTTGTTTTTTTTCTACTTTCTACTTCCCATGTAGATTATGTCTATGTAAGTCTCTCTTAGTGTCCTCATTGTTGTCTAAATTCTCTGGGATTGCGGTTTGTAGGCTGCTAGCTCTGATTCTTACTAGCAGTGTGGACTCAAACCAGTTGCCTTGTACCTGTGTGTGATACATTATCTTTGTGTGTTGGGGGAGCAAGTGTGTGCAGAAGCCAGAGAACAATGTCGGGTGCCTTCCTCAGTTACTTCTCTGCCTTTGATTTTTAAGGTAGGATCTCACTAAACCTTGAAAGGAAAGTATTGGCTCAGGATCCCCAAGACCAAGTTCTCAGCATGAAGGAGATTTTTTTGCCCCAGAGAGACACAGGGCAGGGATAAGGGACGAAGAGAGAGGAAGACAGACGAAGAAGGGGAAGGGGAAGGGAACACAGGAAAGGGAGCAGGGGTATTTGTCCCGAGGGACAAAGGACTGCCTCTGGATAGAGTGGAGACAGACTTGGCAGGAACACGGTACAAGGGCAAACCCTCTGTTAGAATAAGGTATTCAGTTTGAATTGAGCATGTTAATTAGGTCAGGCAAGGGGAGCTTTTGATTGCTGGACCTCAATAATTTGATAGCTAGACCTTGGTAGTCAACCTCAGGAGGAGGAATTGGCCCAAAACAGGAATAGATTTTGGGGGCTAGCTTCAGGGATGTAATCTAATGGTTTTTTAGCAAGGTAAAGAGAATTGGGGAAGAAGGGCAAGGCCTGCCAGAGCCACATGCTTGAGTGGGCTGAGTCCCTTCAAGCCTGTAGCTCACCTATTTGGAACAGCCAGGCTGATGAGCAAGTCTCAGTGATCCTCCTGTTTCCACCTCTCAGGACTGGGATCACAGGCACACACCACCATAGCTGACCTTTGCCCAGCTTTTGATCCAAACTCAGGTCCTATGCTCACTCACAAATACTTTACCAACTGAGCTATCTCCTCAGCTCATGAATACGCATCTAAAACCTTGCAAACCCCAGCAAAATGAAAATCTTTACTGCTGGTTTACAAATGAGAGAAGTGAGGCCAAAGAAGGGTAAGCACATCATGTAAGATCTCCGGATGAAAAAAATAATAAATAAAATAATAAATAAAAAATAAAAATAAAAAGATCTCCGGATGAAGCCGGGCGGTGGTGGTACACACCTTTAATCCTGGTATTCGGGAAGCAGAGGCAGGCCTGCGGGTTCACGGTCAGTCTGGTCTACAAGAGCTAGTTCCAGGACAGCTACAGAGAGAAACCTTGTCTCAAAAAAAAAAAAAAAAAAAAAAAAAAAAAAACAAAAAAACAAAACAAAACAAAAAATCTCCGGATGAGCTAGGACCTGAAGCTGTCTGGCTTCAAGATCAGAACCGCCTCTTCTCTTGCATCCTATCTGCTGTCCTCCCACGTTCCCTGGTTTTGCATAATCTCCCTGAGCTGTTTCTCCAGGTCTCCTCTGGTTGGCTCTCCTACACAGATTAAAAAGTGTGTTTGTATTTCTCAAATATGACACTGCCGAATGAAGGCAAAACTCACCAACACTGGCCAGAGATGAAAAGCTGCACAGGCCGTAGAGCCGTTGAACAGATAAAATATCTTGAGGTTCAGGCAGTGGAGTTAGAGCAGGTTGCCCACCTTCGAGCCCATTTCCCTTTATCCGGTGCTGGTCTTTCTCTCCAGCAAATGATGAAGTTATCATAATAATCTGGTGAAAGACTTTGCACAAACAAAATATTGATGTGCAGGTATAAGCACCTGCACTCCTGCTGTGACCCCTGGAGGTGTCTGCACCAGTGAATTGTGTGAACACGGATGAGTGTCTTGCCTTTTCTGGGCCCCGTTTCTCCATCTGTGGAAAGAGGACGAGGTTCTTATTTAGCTTGTGGGGTCCTTGTGGAAGCGAAATGAATATGCAGAAAGCTCTTAGCAGTGCGTGGTCTGTGCATCATACAAAGTAAATTAGGTAAACACTCATTTGGCCCCCGCCCAGTGAGGACCACATTGCCTTTTGTGGAATTCTGGCCAGTGCGTCTTAGCCTCAGACACATAACTCAGCGGATGTGGCTGTTTTCTTGCACTGATCTTTGAAGACAGAGATCCTGCCCTTCCATTAGGTTTATCAGTTTCTCTTCTAGTCAGCCATAGGCTCGATGCTGAGGTGTCATTCTGAAAGGTACATTGTTGTCAAGTGAGTGTACCACATAGTCTCACATGGGTGCTAGCCCCACAGTTCAGAATAGGCTTCCCCACCAGGACATGCACCTCCTCTGAACACTGGGTCTCACGGGTGTTTCCTCACAGGCATGGTTCTCCATGTCCAATCACTGAAATCTGACTTCTAGAAACTCACCTAGGCAAGAACAGAAAGTCTCCCAAACTCCGACATGTCAGAAGTGCTTGGTGAGCATGAGACAGACAAACCCAACAACTATTTTGGGGCCTGACCCCATACCTAATTAATTCAAGTCTCTAGAGTGACAACTGGGACTCTATGATTGCTGTTGCATCACTGGTATTCAAACAAAAAGAGAAAGGAGATCTGTGGAATGGGACAAGGGAGGATAATGGGGGCTGAACATGAGCTAAGTATCATATACATGTAACGTTTTCATAATGACGCTTATGTTGTTCATTAACAAAAACTAGTTAATTAAAATACATGAATAAATTTTGGTTTTTGTTTCGTGATAGGTGTCGCTACACAGTTCTGGCTGTCCTGGAAGTCTCTTTGTAACCCTGACTGTCCTGGTACTAACAGACATCCACCTGCCTCTGCCTCCTAAGAGCCAGGATAAAAAGTGTACACCACCATGCCCAGTCAAAAATGATTTTTGTTTTTTTTTGAGACAGGGTCTAACTGTGTAGCTCTTGCTGGCCAGGAACCCCCTATGTAGACCAGGCTAGCCTTGACCTCACAGAGATCCACTTACCTCTGCTTCCTGAGTGCTAGCCTTACAGGTGTGCACTGTCATGGCTGGCAAAAGCAATTTTTTTTTTTAACTGAACAAAACTCAGCTCTTCCATCTGTGCACTTGAAGCATTAAACTCCACCTTTAGGACTGGCTTCTCTTTATCCAGGGGCTCCTGGGGCCCCACCTTCACCCCTGGGGCATTGGCTATCAGTAGAGCCTATGAGAGGAGGGTGTTGTTTTTAGTTGTGCGTCCTCTGCTGAGCCCACCACACCCAAACAGATAACACCCAACCCAGAGTCACACAGGTGGCACTGGCAAATCTTGGCGGGTCACTAAACAAAACAGACAGACATGAACATTTTGTGGAGAAGTGGAGAGAGTGGACAGGGATGGTTGGGAAAAGTATACATGTGTGAAATTATAAAATAATAATAATAATAATAATAATAATAATAATAATAATAATAATGGGCTAGAGAGACAGCTCTTGGTGAACAGCACTTGTTGCTCTTGTAGAGGACCTGGGTTCAGTTCCCAGTACCCGTATGGCAGCTCACGACCACCACTCCAGTTCCAAGGGATCTGATGCCATCTTCTGGCCTCCACAGGCACACACATGATACACAGACATACATCCAGGCAAAACATTCATACATATAAAATTAAAATAAATCTTTTAAAGATTGGATATTTACTATAACGATCTCTTTACCAGCGACGTGTTTTGCATCTCTGATTTACGGAGATGTTTCTGTACCTGTGCCAAGCTGACCTTGAATTCATGATCCTCCTGCCTCAGATTGCTACGTGTTGAGATTACCAGCATGAGACCTCATAATTGGCTTTCTGGTCGGTCTTACACATATCATCCCCTCTGTTGGACTTTGATTGGTTTCCTTGTAAAGGAGATGTAGGAAGGGAACTTGCTCTTTCCTCCTTGCCCTCCTCGTGCCTAACTTCATGCTCCAGTTCTTTGGGTAGACTTTTAGAGTTGCTTCCAAGCATATACATTCTAGACTCCAGAGCCATGCTTTTAAATTTTTTTAAATTTATTTTATAAGTGTGGGTATTTTTCCTGCATGTGTGTCTGTGCCTCGCTTACGTGCCCATCACTCTCAGAGACCAGAGGAGGGGATGGACCAAGACCACCGCTGACCAACAGTGAGAGACGGCTGTGAGCTACCAGGGGTGAGGACCAGGCATGCAACCCAGGTCCTCTACAAGGGCAGCCTGTTCGCTTAACCACCGAGCCATTTCTTCGGACCCTCCAGTCACTCCTCTGAGGGGTAAGCGCCACAGCCGCGTGCGCACGCGTGACACAAATCTTACTCACACTACTCTGAAACTAGCGTTCTGGCGTTAGACAGACACACACTGTTCCAGATGCAACAGATTTATGTTATCTAACGCTGTTTTTCCTACCCAAACCCGGAAAGAAGCCATTACAAGGTGAGGGGAGTGTAGAGAACGGGCTACAAGATCGCTGAGCCCCCGAAAATCTGTGTGTGTCTGTCTGCCATGGTCTGAGTCTCTGCCCTTGGCCACTGCTCCACCTGATATCTTCGCTCTCTCCTGATGGCGATCTTTCCAGCCACGGGCCTACAGTTCTGCTTTCCAGAGGCTCTGGCAGATGGCTGCTCACATGCCTCTCTGACTTGATGAAATCTGCAGGCAGCTCAGTTTCCCTGGGAACTTGTGCCTAGGGCGTTTGTTACCCCGCGTTGCCCTAGCAACCGCTGCTGTGTGACTTCCAGCTAAAAAGTCCCAACTGAGGCCTGTCTCAGGGTGGATGCTGATCCTCCTGAGGGCGGGGGCGGGGGGGGGGGCAGAGGTGCTGACTACTGTGGGGGTCCATGCCCATCCTCCCTAGAGGGAAGATGCTGTATGGCAAACTGCTGAGACACTCGTGAACAGGACTTGTTAAAGTCTGTGAGGGAGCGCTGGGCAAACCGGTACAGGCCTGTAATTCTAGCACTCTGGGAGGCTGCTGTAGAAGGACTGAGGATCCGATGCCAGCCTCAGCTGGTTGGAACCGGCAACATTCTGTGGCGTGTCTGGATGTGAAGTCTCTGAACAAATTCTGCTAAGCAGCGCTTTTATGCTTGCAGGCTCTGACTCCAAGCTGACTCACTCTGGCAGCCTTCCAGGGGACTTTCTGGATCATTCCTCTGTAGAGCCCTCACCTCTCCTCACACAGTTCATCTGGAACTTCTCTGCAGCTGATGACACACTTGACCTTGCCTTGTCGATACAGAGTATGAATTACTCCCTTGAAGGCCGATGGAGCTTTTCCTATCCTACGGGCGTTCTGTGTTCTAAGAGCTTGTTTCCTCGCTGCTTCTTAACTCTGCAAGAGAAATGAGGAAAATCTTTAAAACGGAGGGAAAAATCTTGCTGTGGACTCCTCCAGAGTTACCTCTCACTACTCACCTCCTGGAGTGTCTGCTTCTACCGGGGGCTCACGGTGTCGTTCCTCTTCCCTCTGTAAATCACTGAAAGGGGCAAGGGAGAGGACACACTTAAGATCCATTACCCGTGCAGACATCGGCATCAATGCTGAGAGTTTCTCAGTGCTGATGATCAGATGGCTATTTCTGTGACACGCCACAGCCAGCGAGGAGGAAAGTGAGCTGCCAAACTGTTCCAAGTGGACCAGGGGTTTCTGACTGACTAGCGTGACTAAATGCCTGCCTCACGAAATGAATCCTTGTAGGGATAAGCCCTCCCCTTGGGGGCGGGCTGCCCTCAGGCGTATGTTTACTGATATAGTGCGCGGGCAGAGGCTGCGCGGGCCCTTCCGCTTGCTCTCCTGTTTCCGCTGGCTACCCCGCTGGAACCTTGGTTTTGTGAGTCTGTTTTGTTATTAAATTTGTTTAAATATCAATTATTGGTGATTTATTGATCCGACCGCTGCAGTTGGCGCCCAACGTGGGGCACAACCCCGCTGTGTCTGCAGCAGGTCAGGCACACAGGCTGCTGACTTCCCCCGCCCGCAGCCGCGCGGCTCGGGACGCGAACGCCCCGAACGCGATCGCCTTAGCCACTCCGCCCCCTCCGCCTCGGGTGACGCCGCCCGCCAGGCTCCCGCCGCAACCCCGCAGTCCTCGGCACTCCAGCGCCCGCCCGCTTTAGGTTAGCAGGCACGGCTTTGTTCCGCGCACCTCCCCCACCGGTTCTAGGCTGCTGCGGCTCGCAGGCAGCTCTTTGTGTTCCTCTCGCAGAGCAGAGGACTTAACCCCTCCCTCTCTGCTTTGACGTTTGGAACCGAACAGGGAAGCTTAAATATTCGCGGTTTTACAACACAAACCGCCACATTGGGCCCCAAGGGGTCATTTGTATAAATTTCAGTCTTGAGGTTCATTTCAGATCAATTCTCCACGTGGATTCAAGTGGACTCTTTCGCCACCTCTGGCAGGAACCAGTCATTACAGGTAAAAATTTTTTTTTTCCTTTTATAAATAAAATGTCTGATAATATCACCTCTTCCAACTTCCATAACCTTTTTGAGTGTGCCATGTGGGAGATCCTACAAGAGGTGTCTAGCACCCCACATCTATGGATCCTTCTGGGATTAGTAGTTTTCCTTGGTCTTAAGTGGTTTGACAACAAAAGTCTGATAGAGTCTTTAAGAGACGAATCCAGGATTCTTAAGGCAGAGGTTGAACATCTAAAAACTATTGGAGATGAATCCAGGATTCTTAAGGCAGAGGTTGAACATCTACAAACGATTAAGCATGACAATGATCTTCTCATGAATCAGTTTAAAGTTCTACAGGAAGAGAACAGAACTTTGTTTAACAAGACAATGGTGACTGAAAAAAACTTAGAAAAGGTTCAGGCTGATATTAAGGAGAAATTTATTATTATGGAAGAAGGAACAGCTGATTTAAATCGTAAATTTCATCAGTCACTTTCTGAAGGGACTGAAACATTATCTCAGAGAATTAAATCGGTTGAATGGGAAAATCAACTTTTGTCTAAAGCTTATGACAGAGTGGTGGAAAGATTGTCAATACAAGAAGGCACGGTTTATGCCATAAAAATCATGTCCAAAGATGAGAACTTATCTCTAACGGACAAACTTCATACTTTAGAATCCTCAATGAGGGCTTTGGAACATAATTCTGGACAGGAGATACAGACATTGCAGAAGGCAATGGTGAATAGAATTGAAAAGATTGAGGAATTTCTAAATTCTGATTCTGATGAGGAAGAACAAACGGTAGAAAGGAAAGTTTTAACTACATCTGTGGGTAAATCCCTCCGGGACAATTTCCACAAATCTCTATCTACACCTCTACCTGCCTTTCCAGTAATAACGACAGAGAAGGTGATTGGTTCCAAAAACCCTAGGATCCTTAAGGAAGATACATGGGAGCCTGTCCGTATAAATGATCTCAAAGAAATTAAACAGGCTGTCACGGCTTTCGGGATGCACTCCTCTTTTGTTAAAGAGATGCTAAAATCTTGGGCCATAATGAGCAGACCAACGCCTTTAGACTGGACCCAGATGACCTCTGCAGTCCTTGAGAGTGGGACGCATTTAAGATGGAAATGCTTATTCAGGCAAGAGGCTAGACTTTTAGAACAGCAAGAAAAGGCGAAGGGAAGTGACATCTCCCTAGATAAAATTCTAGGTGAAGGACTCTTTTCCGATCCTCAGGAACAAGCTAATTTGGATGAAAGCATACTCTCCATATGCACTACAGCAGCCTTAAGGGCTTGGGACAGGGTACAAGACCCAGGACAGAGAATGGAATCATTTGTTACGATTAAACAAGGTCAGAGAGAACCCTTTAGTGATTTTTTACAAAGACTTACTAAGGCTGTACAAATAGGGATACCTGACCCTGACACAAGACGTATAATGATTGAGTCTTTGGCTTATGAAAATGCAAATGTGGAATGCAAAAAGATTTTGGGGCCTTTAAGGTTCAGATCAGCACCCTTGGAAGAATGGGTCTTGCATACACTGGATGTTGATACATTTGATTATGGCACTGAAGCATGGGTAGAGGAAGCAATTTCCAATGGTAAAAGGAGACATCAGAATACCAAATGTTTTAATTGTGGCAAAATGGGTCATATGAGAAGGAATTGTAAACAACGGACCTTCAGAAACAATAATAATGCGTCTTCTAGAAATAACAGAAATAGAAGGACTCAGCCTTCAGGTTTATGTAGAAGATGTGGAAAGGGTAGACATTGGACGAATGAGTGTAGATCTACAAGAGATAGACAAGGAAACCTGATACAGACGGGAAACGTGAGAGGGGGGGCCTCACAGGCCCCCATGGCAAACATGGTCCAGTCATTTCCAGTTTCTGCAGAGAACGTGCCTCGTCAGGACAATTAGGAAACCTCATGCCTACTGTTACAAACGATAATGAGCAGAAAGATGAGTTACGTGTGTTTTGGCAAACTTCTATAAATGATCAAAGACCTAAGCTGAAAGTGTGTGTAAATGGCATTTTTATTACTGGCCTGCTGGACACAGGTGCTGATGTAAGTATCATTACCCCAGAATCTTGGCATCCATATTGGCCTCTTCAGAATGTAAATGTTCAGTTCCTGGGAATTGGAACCCTATCTCGAGTAAGACAGAGCACGAGATGGGTTGAATGTATAGGGCCTGAGGGACAAATAGGGAAATTAAGGCCATATGTAGCCAGTATTGCAATGAATTTATGGGGTCGTGACCTATTACAACAATGGAATACCCAAATTAACATTCCTGCTAATTCTAGAGCCTATATTTCTGAGAATAATATTAAAAGATATTACAAACGGAGAAAACCGGCCATTCGGGCCGTACAAGAACAAACAATTGAAACTCCTTCAGAGATACCAACAGCATTGCCTCTAAAATGGTTGACTGAGAAACCAATATGGACAAAACAATGGCCTCTAGCTGAGGAAAAGTTACAGGCTTTAGAACAGCTGGTACAAGAGCAATTAGATGCTGGACATATAGAGGAATCTACCAGTCCTTGGAATTCTCCTGTATTTGTGGTTAAGAAAAAATCAGGTAAATGGAGAATGGTGACAGATCTCAGAGCTATCAACAAAGTTATTCAACCTATGGGTCCTCTGCAATCTGGAATCCCTTTGCCCTCTTTATTACCAAAAGGATGGCCTCTTATAGTTATTGATTTAAAGGATTGTTTTTTCACCATACCTTTACAAAAAGAAGATAGAGAAAAATTTGCCTTCACGGTGCCTACTTACAACAATTCTCAACCTTCCAAGAGATACCACTGGGCCGTCCTCCCCCAGGGTATGTTAAATAGCCCCTCCTTGTGCCAATATTTTGTGAACCAACCATTGCAAATAGTACGCAAGAAGTTTCCTGAATCTATAATATTCCACTACATGGACGACATCTTGTTATCCGATTCAAACATGGATACCTTGAACAGACTGTTTGAAGAAATAAAGATACTTTTACCTAAATGGGGATTGCAAATTGCTCCTGAGAAGATACAGAAGGGAGATTCTGTTAATTATTTAGGTTATAAAATAGGTTTGCAAAAAATTAAGACACAAAAGGCACAAATTAGGAGAGATCGCTTACGGACTCTTAATGACTTTCAAAGACTGTTAGGAGACATTTCCAGTCTACGACCAACTATTGGGATAACACCTGATCTAATAATTCATCTGAACAAAACCTTGGAAGGTGATAAAGATTTAAACAGTCCCAGAGAATTAACAGCTGAAGCAGAAAAGGAACTGACGATGATTGAGGAAAAATTACAACAGGCACATGTGGACAGGGTGAATCCAGAGCTCGATTGTATTCTCGTCATATTACCATCCAAAATTTCTCCTACAGGAATTTTAATGCAGAGAGATGATATTATCTTGGAATGGATCTTTTTACCACATAAACCAAGTAAAAAACTGAAAACTTATGTGGAAAAAGTCGCCGAGTTAATTATAAAAGGAAAGCTGAGACTTCGTCAATTAGCAGGCATAGACCCAGCAGAAATTATAGTGCCTTTCACTGCTGATGAACTAAAGAAATTATGGGAAGATAATGAACCATGGCAAAGAGCTTGTGCTAGTTTTTTGGGAGATATTAATAACAATTATCCAAAAAGCAAGAGGCTTAACTTCATAAAGAGAACTTCATGGATCCTTCCTCGAATCGTCCGTGATGCTCCAATAACTGGAGCCCGTACATTCTATACTGATGCCAATAAAACAGGGAAGGCAGGTTACAAATCGGAAGACTTGGGTAAGGTGGAACAAAGTCCTTATGATTCTGTCCAGAAGGCAGAATTATATGCCATTCTTATGGTGCTAAGGGATTTTAGAGAACCTATTAATATAGTTACTGATTCGCAATACGCAGAAAGAGTTATTTTACATATTGAAACTGCTGAATTTATACCTGATGATACAGAACTAACCTCATTGTTTATCCAGGTTCAAGATTTGATCAGGAACAGGCTCTGCCCTATGTACATAACACACATCCGATCCCATACGGGTCTGCCAGGTCCTCTAGCACAAGGTAATGCAGACATTGATCAGTTATTGATTGGTAGTGTGCTACAAGCCTCTGAATTTCATAAAAAACATCATGTTAATAGCAAGGGTTTGAAGAAAGAGTTTTCTATTACATGGCAACAGGCTAAGGAGATTGTAAAGAAATGCCCTACTTGCTCTTTCTATAACCAAACGCCACTGCCAGCAGGGGCTAATCCAAAGGGCACCCATAGGAATGAAATCTGGCAGATGGATGTGTTCCACTTTGCAGAATTTGGCAAATTGAAGTATGTTCACCACACCATTGACACTTATTCAGGCTTTCAGTGGGCAACTGCTTTAAGTTCAGAAAAAGCTGATTCAGTAATCACTCATTTATTAGAAGTCATGGCTATCATGGGTATACCTACACAAATAAAGACGGACAATGGTCCTGCTTATGCCTCTAGGAAAATGAAACGGTTTTTTGACTATTACAATATCAAGCATGTTACAGGTATACCATACAATCCTACAGGTCAAGCAGTCATAGAAAGATCAAATCGAACTATAAAAGATATGTTGAATAAACAGAAAGGGGTGGAAAACACCCCCAGAAATAGGTTACATAATGCTTTGTTAACCTTGAATTTTCTTAACGCTAATGAGAAGGGGACAACGGCTGCAGAAAGACATTGGATAATGGAAAAGTCTACTGAACTAAATCAACCAGTTTATTTCAAGGATGTGCTGACCTCACAATGGAAACCAGGAGATGTGCTGCGTTGGGGAAGGGGTTTTGCTCTTATCTCCACAGGTGAGGAACAATTGTGGATACCGACAAAACTAATAAAGGTTCGGTATGAAGAAGAAAAGCCATTTGGAAAAGATAAATAACAATTCTTTCACAAGGTTGGCGAGCATACTGATGGTAAGGAATACAGATAGGTTGGGGGCAGGGTTCTTTTCTTATCTCCACAGGAAAATATTGATCTTCAAAGACTTTAAGGGACCCTGAATATTTAATTACTGATGGATGGATAATAGTTACGACCTACTAAGGATCAACTAACATTATATACATACCGTAAGTATTGATTTTTTATATATTTATGTATATATGTTTTTTGTTTTTTGTTTTTGCTTTTCCTCGTATCTGTGTCTTTCTTTATATGTCAGTATATGTCCTTGTTGTTAGTGTCTAAATTTCCCATAACAAGCAACAAATTTTCCTACAGTAATTTTTGAAGTTTCCAGGATGAAGATGGGGCCCCACAACATCAACTCAACCTGGTTTTTATGACGTCATGAATATATTGAATATATTTTTTTTTTTTTTTTTTTCTTTTCTACGTGCTAATAATTTTTTTTGGTACCAACTGCACAAGACAATTTCGAATGGTGCACATTTTTTGACGACACTCTGGCCGGACCTTCTCAAAGCGCTCAGGGACTAGTTATAATTTTCTTAGGCCAAAGGTTAATTTGGGAATTTTACCATCATTTGCTTTCACAGGAGCCCCTAAGGAGAACATCGCCCCCATGTCAGCTTGAAGCAATCTTAGAGGACGGCGTCCCCTCCCCCAACAGAGTTTGCCCTCAGGGTTAGGGACATCTTTTAGTGGTTGGTTTGGGGTTGAGGGGATGGGGAGATGTTTTATGGAGTTAGGGGTATGTTAAAAAAAAAAAAAAAGGGGGATTAACTGGTTTGATGGGATGATTGGTATTTGTGAGTTACTGTTTTTAGAAAATTGTATTGGTACTGTTTCCTGTATATTGACATATTGAATATTGAATGTGAGTGTTCCTACCTCTATTTTTGTATAAGAGTATACTTATATTGTATTGATACATCTACCATATCACAATGTACATTTCTACCTCTGATACTATTTATGTAATAACATTGTTTACATTTGATATGTAATGACATTGTTTACAGATGAAGATCATTGTCTTCATGTATTGCACAGTTGTTTATTTTTTTTTGTCTTCAAGTTAGATAGGTATTGAGAATTTTATGTTGTTCATGTTTATTTTTAGGTTAATAAGGTATTCTAGATACATAGAGATTATATTTAGTATAGATAGTATAATCTTCAGCCTCTTTAAAGAGCTGTAGAAAATGGCCTTTAAGCTAACCTAGAATTCTGTGCCGAGACACAATTACTCCTGGCGACACCACTCTACTCCCGAGAGAACGTTGAGCACCAAAGACACTCCACTGGGAGTTTGTCTTCTTGGCAGAATTGGCCTTTGGGTTAAGAAAAGCCCATACCTCATCTACTGACAAAGATATGAAACAGGATTTTCTTATCTTGCCAAGACAGGGTAGGATAATTCTAAGAAAATTCCTTGCATTTGATAATGGTATGTCAGTCATGCTAGGCCTTAGCCAAAGTTGGTTGACTCAACATTGCGAACGAGAATTTGGGTGATTGCCCAGGTAGTCTGTTGTCTCTGTCATTTATGGCACGCTTTGGATATCGCTCATTTGTTAAGTAATATTTATTCCCTTCTCGGATCTTTGACGGAGTTGAAGATTATATAATTGTAATTACTCTCTACATTATTTAGACTCCTTGAGATAGAATGTCTGGTAAAACTTTTGTTCTCAATATTGTTTGTTATATCTATTATTTATTATTATTGTTTATAGTTGTATTTAGGTTAGTTCTGTCTTATTTAGACAAAAGGAGGGAGATGTAGGGATAAGCCCTCCCCTTGGGGGCGGGCTGCCCTCAGGCGTATGTTTACTGATATAGTGCGCGGGCAGAGGCTGCGCGGGCCCTTCCGCTTGCTCTCCTGTTTCCGCTGGCTACCCCGCTGGAACCTTGGTTTTGTGAGTCTGTTTTGTTATTAAATTTGTTTAAATATCAATTATTGGTGATTTATTGATCCGACCGCTGCAAATCCTTCAAGTAAGTGTCTCTGAGCTCACACTACTGACTGGATGAGGCGCGTCCCTTTCACCCCGAGGCCAACTGACTATGTCCCCTAGCAAGCACCACCACCTGTCAGTCATTCAGGCATTTACAGAAGGGGAACATAAACCTTCAACTGCTAAGGACATCCTGGGGAGGAAAGTCCCCAAAGCTCCCCAGGCTGGGCAGGTGACAGAGAGTGCATAGACATCCACCTGTCGCTCTCTCCTCCAGCCAGGCATCAAGTTTCCAGCCATAGGGGCTCTCCTGAGTTACAGCCCTGGTCTTCAGACCTGAGACTGCTTCTTCATCTTGGTGGGCTTGTTAAAACCAAGTTGCTGGGCTCAGCCTCAGAATTTCCGAGTTACTAGGCCATTGACCAATCCCAGAGGCAGCTTCTTTCTTTCATTTTGTTGTTGTTGTTGTTTTGTTTTGTTTTTCACAACAGAGTTGCTCTGTGTAACCTTGGCTGTCCTGGAACTCCCTCTGTCCACCAGGCTGGCCTTGAACTCACAGAGATCTGCCCACCTCTGCCTCCCAAGTCCTGGGATTAAAAGTGTGCACCACCATTAGTAAGAGGGCATTTCTAAGAGCTTACTAGGAAACACTGGTGCTGTTAGACTCACACTTTGAAAGCCAGCATGTTAAAGTGTCATGAGCTGTAAGGTTAAAAATGGAATTACCTTAGAAGTAGCACATCCAAATGTTACTATTTAGATCCTAGAGTTATGAGACAAAATTGATCCTGAACCGATAACTACCAGTTACTATTACTACAGGTCTCTCGCTGTGTCCAATCAATCACATTTTATTTAACCCTTATTACGTTTTATGAAGTGACCATTACTTCAGTTTTCAGATGAGGAAAACTAGGCTTAGGGGACTATAACTAAGTCGGCAAAGTGCAAATAAAAGCAGCAGGTTTTGAACCCAAAACTGCCTCTTAGTTCAGCCCAGCATTGTGCTATAAACCTCTAAGCCCAGCATTTGGGAGGCAGAGGCAGGCAGAGCTCTGTGAATTCAAGGCCAGCCTGGTCTACATAGTGAGTTTCAGCCTAGATGAGGCTACATAGTGAGGCCCTACTCCCCCCCCCAAAATAAGTTAATTGATGGGGCTGACAAGATTTAGGATAATCCAAGGATCAAGAAAGACCAAAAGTCTTAAGCAAACAGAATCCCAGGACTCATTTTAGCAGGTCAGAGGGCCCTTGCCAGCCAGGATCCTGAGGTGACCAGTCCTGTATTCACGGAAGAGAGAGAGGAAGTCTGGAAGTTCTTCCTAGGTATGATTCTCACCGTCATGGAGAGGCCAGCAAATGACTTACTCAGAGAGGGGGAGGGGCCGGTTCTCTCCGCTGCTCTGTCCAAAGCATGCCCAGGCTCACCTCATTAGCTGTGTGAGGCTTCAGTCCCTGCCAAGTCGCAAGGTGCCTTTGAGGGGCCACTGGGAGCTCTGTGCGCAGCATGGAGAAGCTCTGCTTTCGGCAGCAGTTCTCGGCCCTCCACTCTCTTTAAACTCACCAGAGAGGTTTTCACAGATCCTGCCGCCCAGCCTCCACCTTAGGACATTGATGGCAGACCTTCTGGGCCGGAGCCCCAGCGTCAGTAAAATGTTAAGGGCTCCAAGGAATCTGAATGTGCAGCAAGGCTGGAAGCCTCTTCGAAAGCATGTATGAGGGGAGGGGAATAATCAGCTGCCCTCTGGAAAATATTGGCATTTTCCCCTGGGACTTCGGACTAAAAAGACTTCAACATCTAAAGGAATCCATCTCGGTTTGTGCAAGGTGAAGGGAAGCACCCTGATAAGGGAAAGGCTATGGGGAAGCAGGGAGACACTGCCTCAAAGAGACATTTGGCATTCTTAGTAATTACAGCATTAGCTGTGATCGTGATTTCTTTAAGTAGCTCCGAAACATGGCATCACAAATTCTCTCCAACTCTATCCAGAGGAGAAAAATCACTTACCCATCCCGAGTGTACTTCCAGAACAAGTAACTGTAAAAAACAAACAAAACATAAGCGTTGAAAACATACTCGTTGATATATATATATTTTATGTTTGTGTGCATGGAGGCCCGAGGCTGATCCAGGTGTCTTTCTTTGATGCTCTCCACTGTTAGCTTTTGAGACGGCGTCTCTCTCCCTGAACCAGAAGCTCACTGATTTGGCTAGGCTGGCTGATAAACTTCAGGGATCCGCTTAGTGCCCCACTGCTGCCAAGTGCTGGGGCTACAGCTGTGCGCTACCATGCCTGGCCTTTTACTCTGGGGATCCAAACTCAGGTCCTTACCCACGGAGCCATCTTCCCAGCCCTGTTGATGTATTTCAGACGGAAAAGTCACACATTTGTAAAAAAGGAAAAAGGACTGGGCATGGTGGTACAAGCCTGTAATGCAAGATACTTAGGCAGCTGAGGCCAGTATGGGCAATTTAGCAAGCCATTGTTTCCAAATAAAGTTTTAGGAAAAGGCCCAGGGATGGGGAGGGGGGATGTTGAGGGAATGCTACTTCAGCAGTGTGGTATTTGCCTAGCTTGTACTATGTCCTGAGTCTAATCTCCAGAACTGCAAAAAAAAAAAAAAAAAAAAAAAAAAAAAAAAAAAAAAAAAAAAAAAAAAAAAAAAAAAAAAAAAAACACAGTAAATGGAAAGTAGATCAAAGATGAAGAAGAGAAGACTCAAATAAGAGAAGGAGATGCTGAGGTAGGCAAGCATAGTGAATGGTTTGGCCGCTTGGGACTCTTCTAGGTTCAGACTGTACACAGGCCTTCTTCTGAAGATGAACTTGGCAGCCTAGCTTCTTTGCCTGCACAGGCTGCACACACCACACATTCCTCTCCAAACAACACACCTAGCAACCGCAGGTCCACATTTGCTCCAAACTCCACATACACCCCTCTCTGACTGTGGGATAGGTTTCTCCACTCTTAAGAGCAACCAAACTTGGAAAATTTCCACTAAAAATATTCTAAATGTATCGGGCGGGAAGAATGGAAAGGATGATCTATCTGGCCTGAACTGGTTTGGGGCTCATGAGGAGTAAGGCAAATTATGTCCCCCAAGTGTGCTTTCAGGAAGGATCCTCTGCTTGCTATCCCATGTCTATACACAATCGGGACATATACAATTTAGTGACTTGCAGAGAATTGTAGATACAGACTTGGAAGCCATTGAGTCTCACTTATAAACCAGAAACAGTAAGGTCTATTGAACCTCCTTCTTATGGTTATTTTGAGCATTCAACCAGACATGAATGTGATAGAGTGTGTGTGTGTGTAAGCCAGGGGAGCTAAAGTTACAGGTGGTTGCGAGCCATCTGATGTGGGAACTAGAAATTGAACTCAGGACTGCTGGAAAGGGACTGTGTGCTCCTAACCACACGTGAGGACACTTAAGTTTGTGAAGTATCCAGGAAACATGACATGTTGTTATTGAGTGGTGAGCTTGTCTTCCAAAGAGCTCAGCTGCACACCACGAATCCACTCCAGTCTCTTCTCAGAAGGACGGGCTATGGACCAGATTTGGGGGAAAGTGGCAAGATTAAAACATGAATAAAAATCAAAGCATGACATCTAAGGAGAGCCCTTCCCTCTAGGAAGAGCTGGCCATGTTCTGCCACTGAGAGCCATCGTGAACCTCTTGTCACCTGCATTTAATTAGAAAACGCGGACTGCTTATCAGGAAAGGCTCCTGAGTCATCTTTTCATCTTCCTGCACTCACCTGCAAAATTCTAGGGCCTCTTTATTGCTTTTCTCTTCCTTCTCTTAGAAGTACATGAAAAATATATGACTGTGCCCTGGGCAAGGTAGCAGAGGGTGCTGGAACACAGAACAAGAGAATTGCTAATGTCTCCTGCCAGCCCTGGTGAGCCGGCCTGGCTGTCAGCCCTGGTTTGTGATCACAGCCTGTCTACCCACTCAGATTTCTAGCCCTTATTTAGGATTTATAAATTCCCTTTCCTTTGATCCGCAAACTCCCCCTTTGTCCTCATTCTCAATCTGTGCAAATAAAAGTTCAAAACCGCTTTGTTGTTGCTGCTGCTGCTGTTGTTGTTTTTGAGACTAGGTCTCTCTGTGTAACAGCCCTGGCTGTTCTGGGACTTGCTTTGTAGACCAGGCTGGCCTCAGTCTTACAGAGAGCTGCCTGCCTACCGAGTGCTGGGATAAAAAGTGTGCGTCACCATGGTCCAGCGAAGGCCAAGTCTTTTAAGGTCCAACATGACAAGGTGTCCAATGGCATCTCTAGACTATGTTTAAAAATCTCTTCCCAAATCGCCAATCACTTTAATCCTCTTTACTATGAAAACAGTAAGGATCTGGCCCTTTTTCTGAAGGGGGAAAGGCACACGGGTCCCCACCGCAATTCCAAACAAGTCTGAATTCCTGCAGCTTCAGAGAATTCACACTGAGCCGTTAAGAGGGATTGCCCTGCCTCTTAATTCACAGGTAATTCTGACCTGAAGGTAAGGTTTAATATTTTGGGGGTTTATTTGTGGATGTGAGAGTGTGGGTTCACGGATATAAACCACACAACTGGTAGGAGCCAGTTCTCTCCCTGTACCACGTGCTGGCCAGTTTCATGTCAAGCTGACACAAGCTGGAGTCATCTGAGAAAGGGGAACCTCAGCTGAAAAATCCTCCCTAAAGCCGGGCGGTGGTGACGCACACCTTTAATTCCAGCACTCGGGAGGCAGAGGCAGGGCGGATCTCTGTGAGTTCGAGACCAGCCTGGTCTACAAGAGCTAGTTCCAGGACAGGCTCCAAAGCCACAGAGAAACCCTGTCTCAAAAAACCAAAAAAAGAAAAAAAAAAAAAAAAAGAAAAGAAAAGAAAAATCCTCCCTAAGACTGGGCTGTAGGCAAGTCTGCGGGGCATTTGATGTGGGAGGGTCCAGGTCATTGTGGGAGGTGCCACCCCTTAGCTGGGTTCTGTAAGAGTGGTGACTGAGCAAGTCATGGGAGAGCAAAGTGGTAAACCGTGTCCCTCTATTGTCTCAGCCTCAGCTCCTGCCCTAGCTTCCCTCTGTGATAGAAAAGCAAGCGCATAAACCCTTTTCCTCTGCAGGTTGCTTGGGTCGTGGTGTGAAACCCTGGCTGAGACACACAACACGGGCTCAGCCAAGCAAGCGCTTTAACCCACTATACTGCTTAGTTTTCCTTGTCAGCCTGACATAGTTTAAGTCACCTGGGAAGCAGAAGCCTCAGTTGAGGAAATTTCTCCATCAGATCGACCTGTGGACATGGCTGTGGGAAATTGTCTTCTTTGATGATTGATGTAGGAGGGCCCAGTCCATGGTAGGCAGTACAATCCCTAGGCGGGCGGGCCTGGGCTCTCTGAGAAAGGTAACTGAGCCTGAGAACAAGTCAAGTAAGCAGCTTTCCTCCATGTTTCCTGCCTCTGCTCCTGCTTGAGTTCCTGCCCTGACTTCCCTTGAGGATGGGCTGTGACCTACGAGCCAAACAAACCCTTTCCTCCCTCAGTTGCTATGGATCCTGGTATTTCTCTCAGTAGGAGAAAGCAAACAAGAATACCCCTAAGCCATCTTGCCAGCCCAAGGGTTAGTTTTAATCTTCCTTTTACGTTTTTCTTTTGGGCGATGGGGCCTTGTGCATGCTATGTCAAGGGCTGTACCACTGGCTGGTTGTAAATTAAAGGTCATAAGCTGATTTACCTGAGTATATTTTCTTTGGACAGAATGTGAGCTTCAGTCCTGTGTCTGCAACTGGCGAGACCATCACAGTGTATACGTCCCCACAGGGGATGTCGGTGACGTCACAGAAACTTAAACCAGCGCTTGGGACACACGTGAAGATGCCTTTGGACCCATGGAGGTCGGTGCTATAATTGGCAGAGCCCCTGGAGGCTTGCCAGTAGATCCGGATGCCATTAGGGCCCAGCCTATATAATTTGACCCCCAGCGGGCAGCAGGCACCTACAGGATAAAAACAAGCCCCAAATTATTATTTCATCATCACACGAGCATGGCTTTGTTTACAATCACTACAGAGGGAAAAGACAGAACTGGAGACCTCTGCAGAGAACGATTGCTCTCCGGTTAGATCAGAGCAAGGTCTGAAGGGCCGTGTGTGCTCTTCCCGTGGTGAGCTCCACGATCAGAAGTCCATGCGTGGGTGGGGAGGGGGAGGGGCTTCTAACATAGAACCCTGGAGGGTCAAAGGTCTACAGTCGGCAGAGAGGTGCAAACGCTGAGTCAAATGCACACCGTCCTATCGAGGTATAGCATGAGTGTCAAAATGCACACTATCCTATCAAGGTATAACACAATGCCCCATCTCATTTGACTTTAGGGGGACTAAACTACCTCATTGTGTTCACCCTAGAAGCTATGAGCAGGAGCACACCTTAGAGGCAGCCACCTCTATAACCGGCTAGTGAGCAAGCTGGTCCATGCCTCATTTGTGCCAACCGATTGGGTACTCTTGTGGTCCTGTTCCCCAAATATTTTGAGTGAGTCAAACATTAGGTATCAATCAGGGCACCAGATGGTGGAATGCTCACGAACTAAAATAAAGGTCATGTATAACTTTTTTAATCTGTGAAGAAGAATCGGGCTCATTTGATTTGTGCATGTTCTCTCTCTCTCTCTCTCTCTCTCTCTCTCTCTCTCTCTCTTTTTCTCTGTCCCTGTGTGTGTTCATTCGCTTGAGACAGGGTATTGCTATGTAGTCCAGGCTAGCCCCTAAATTCATCTTCCGGCCTCAGTCTCTCAAGCGCTGGATTCTGTATGCACCACTATGCCCAGCATGACTGACTGCTTGACTGGTTGATTATTTGGAAGGCAGTTGGAGACAGAGTCTCATTCGCTATGGAGTCCAGGCTGGCTTTGAAATCATGGCTGTCTGGCGAACCTCTTTGTCTCACCTCCTGAGTGCTGGGATGCTGGTCAGGAGGCCACGTGATGGCTAACACTGTCAGCTTGACAGGCTCCAGAATCACCCAGGAGAAGAGACAAGAGGCTAGTCTGTGAGGGATTCAGGAGTGCCTGAGAGGGCTGTCTAGAGGAAGTTAGCTTCTGGAAAAGCCTGGGAGGGATATGTAGATTATGTTAACTGAGGTGGGGTGACCCACCCTAAATGTGGGCTGTACCATTCCCTCAGATGGGAGCCTGGGCATCATTAAATACAGCTGAACACAAGCATTCACCTTCCCAAATTCTGACTTCAGACAAGGTGACCAGCTTCTTCCTGCTGCCATGATCTCCTCACCATGAACTGCAAACGAAATCAACCCTTCCTGACATATTTTCTCAGTGATGTCATTGCTTATTTATTTTTAATTGTGGGTATGTGTGGGGTGTACATGTGTGGGGTATACATGGGTGGGGTGTACATGTGAATGCAGTGCCTGAGGCTGGGAGAGGGTGGACAGGAGTTACATTCAGCGTGTGTGCTGGGAACTGAACTCGGGTCCCCTGGAAGAGCAGTGGCTATGTTAGCTGCTGGACTGTCACTCTGGCCCCTTGAGTTGTTTGGCTTTTTTTTTTTTTTTAAATCAGATTTTGTTTTGTTTTTCTAGACAGTGTTTATCTGTGTAGCCCTGGCAGTCCTGAAACTCACTTTGTAGACCAGGCTGGCCTCTACCTCAGAAAGGTGTGCACCACACTGCCTGGCTTGTCAGATATTTTTGTCAAACCAACAAAAAGGGGACAGTGAATTCATTAATTTATTCTTTTTACTTAGTTGAAAACAATTGTTCCATTTTGTTCGCAATATTAGCATAGGCAGCTCTACAGCACAGGATGACCTTAATTTCCTGACCCTCCTGCCTGTCCTTCCTGAGTAAAGAGATTACAGTCATGAGCCACCTTTTCTGGACTGGTTTATTTATTTATTTATTTATTTATTTATTTATTTTTAAGAAATTGTTTTAAGGCTGGCAAAGTTGTTCAGCTGGTAAAGGTGCTTGCCATGAAGCCTGACCAACTAATTTCATGGGCCCCACATGGCGGAAGGAGAGCACCAGCCCCTGTAAGCTGACCTGTGACTTCAACACACATACCCTGACGTGCTCGTGGGAGCACACACACAAATCAATTAATTGATTAAAGTTTAAAATGTTAGGTGGAGATATAAGCCATGAATCATCTTCTCAGAACTGGCAACGCAGATGAGAAAGGGGCGACCAAGAGAACAGAAAGTCACGGGCCAAAGGGAGGCGTAAACCCGCTACGCTGTACAGAACATTATGATGCTTTCACCCGGAGGCCAGGGAGATGCTGCTACCTTTGCTTTCTTCTTTCCTCAAAGGAACTAGAATCATGGAAAAGAAAGGCAACCCGAGTTGTAAGCAGCCATTTCTTTTTTTTTTTTTTTTTCTTGGTTTTTTCGAGACAGAGTTTCTCTGTGGCTTTGGAGCCTGTCCTGGAACTAGCTCTGTAGACCAGGCTGGTCTCGAACTCACAGAGATCCACCTGCCTCTGCCTCCCGAGTGCTGGGATTAAAAGCATGCGCCACCACCACCCGGCTGTAAGCAGCCATTTCTAATGTGGGCTCCCAGTTAAGATATTTTCTATTGCCTCCAAGAAGCCAAAAATTATATTTCAACCCCACTGTCCCGAGCCCGGCAAAGCGAGAACTAATCACCACCGTGCAGTTTCTCCTCTAGCCTGGAGGCGGTCTCTGGAGTTTGTTCCAAAACAGCCCTCCAGGCAGCCGCCTCAGCAGGTTAGGATGATGTATGAGAGGAAACTTTGCTAGCCTTGCTCTCCTTGCTGTTTCTTTCCATTATTCCTGAATGGCGTGGCATTTGTGGGAAGAAGCCTCTGCTCCCGTTTGGCCTGTTAAAGTGATAAACTACAGAAGGCTGGAGAGGTTCAGAAGAGAGAGAGAAATGCAGCGTGATGACAGTGCAAACCAGGTAGGATGTGCGCTCAAACGCTTCCGGGAACCTCTGCCAGGCTGTTAGTGTTCACTACAGATCTCTCTGTCATGTAAAAAAAGGACCATCATCCCCTTCAGGAAACAGCCCGGCCTTTTTACCAGGGGAAGCAAAGCACCAAGGACTGACAGAAACCGCTGAGCTTTGAAGTTCCAAGTCCAAGGGAACTGTAAACATGTTGGAAAGTGCTCTGCTTGGTTAGGGCTGAGGAGAGGGCTAGGACGGCGAAGCCTCTGCCACACACACGTGACGGGAGGGATAGAATGGTGAAGCCTCTGCCACACACACGTGAGGAGAGGGCTAGGTCGGTGAGTTTGAGCTCCAGCATGTATGTAAAATTTGAGCATAACAGCTCTATGATGCCATGTGCCTATAGTCTCAGCACTGGGGAGGCAGAGACAGGACCACCCCTGGTGCTCACTATTCAGCTAATCTAGCCAGACTGGTGAGTCTCTGATGTGGGGTGTCTTCTGTATACATGCTGCTTTTATCAGTTACTGAACACAGCTGTTTTAGGCCAATGGCTTAGCAGGGTAAAGTCAGTCGGGAAATCTGAGGAGAGAGACTAGGCGGAGTCGAAGGAGATGCCACAACAGCTGCCGAAGGAGAAAAATGACAGAAGGTTACTGGTAAGCCACAGTCCCTTGGTGATACATAGATGAAAAGAAATGGGTTAATTTAAGATGTAAGAGCTAGTTAGGAATATGTCTGAGCCATTGGCCAAACAGTAATTAATATAATTTCTCTGTGATTATTTGGGTCTAGGCAGTTGGGAAACAAAAGTGCGGTCTTCATTTACAAGTTTCCAATTTGGTAAGAGAACTTATCTCCAAAGACAAGGTGGTGAGTGGTTGGAGATGACTGGCAACACGACACTAAGAAATAACGTGAATTTGAAAGCGAGGTAGAGGTCACCATCTCTTTTTAACGATTAATATAATTTTATTTTGTGTGCATTGATGTCTCGCCTGCATTTATGTCAGTATGAGGGTGTCAAATCACTTAGAGCTGGATTACAGATATCTGTGAGCACCATGTGGGTGCTGGGAATTGAACCTGGGTCCTCTTAAGCCACTGCTCCTAACTGCTGAGCCATCTCTCCAGCCCCACACCATCTTTTTAAATGGGAAGGAGGGACTGAGCCTAGACCGGAGATCATGGAATCCTTAGCAACTGTGATGGTTTCAATGAGGATGGTCCCCATAGCCTCGTCTATTTGAATACTTGGTATTGAATACTCAGCTGATAGAACTGTTTGGGAAGGATTAGGAGGTGTGACCGTTTTTAGGGGAGGTGTGTCACTGGGGGTGGGCTTTCAGGATTCAAACACTCATGCCAGGCCCAGTCTCTCTGCTGGCTGCCTTTGGATCAGGATGTAAAGCTCTCAGCTACTGCCCTAGCCCTAGGTTGTCTGCTTCTCACCATGGTGATCATGGACTGTGGACTAACTTTCGAAACTGTAAACGAGCCCCCAATTAAATGCTTTCTTTTGGGTTGTCCTGGGTTGGGCAGTGGTGGCACACACCCATAACACCATCACTAGGGACACAGAGGCAGGCAGATCTGAGTTCCAGGGCAGCTTGGTCTACAGAGCAAGCTCCAGGTCAGTCAGGGCTACACAGATCCACCATGTCTTGAAAACCAAAACCAAAACAAAACAAAAACAAACAGAAAAAACGCTGCCTTGGTCATAGTGTCTCTTCACAGCAACAGAACAGCAATTAAGACATCATCAGTACTCAAGGGCTAGAGTTTAGAATTCACTTACTGGAAGAATAACTTTGGTAGGCACAGTCTGCAGTCAGTCCAGTAGGGCTAATGGCTTTCAATGCCACCGTGTAGTTGATGCCACATGCGATGCATCCCAGAAGGCAGTGGTTCTGATGGGTGTGACACTTGGACTGTCCGATCTGTGACTCGAGCACTGTCACGTAGGTCTGAGCCACTGTCCCGATAGTCCAGCTCACGTTGATTATAGACTGGGTGACCTGCGCCGCCGTCAGACCAACTGGACAGCATGGCACTAAAACGGAAAACAGAAAAGAATTTAATTTTCTTCCAGATTCCTTATAGACGATAACCACAATGGGACTGCGAGGCTGCACTTTGGGTAAAGCACTCAGTGGGCAAGCCGACAATCGGAGTTCAATCTCTGGGCACGCGCAGTGGAAGCAGAGAATGTACTCTACACACATGTGATATGTTCACACCCTCCCCATCACACATGCACACTCACACACAATAACAAGTAAGTAATAAAAGGAATGGGACTTTGCTCACGCTTCCCTTAAAATCCTAAGTTTCTCATGCTTTCTCTTTTTAATGAAATTTTCACCGGGCAGTAGTGGCACATGCCTTTAATGCCAACACTCGGGAGGCAGAAGCAGGTGGATCTCTGTGAGTCTGAGGCCAACCTGGTCTACAGAGCTAATTCCAGGACAGCTAGGACTATACGAGGAAACCCTGTCTTTAAAAAAAAAAAAAAAGTAGAAAAGAAAAGAAAAATTTCCTTTGTCCATACCCTCTGATGCACCTTGTAATATCAACCATGTATTGTGAGCATTTTCTCCAAGAATGCAGTGTTCTAGAATAGGCTTTGGATCATATGTTGTTTCTCCCATTTCTTTGTCCTTTTTTCTTTCTTTCTTTCTTTCTTTCTTTCTTTCTTTCTTTCTTTCTTTCTTTCTTTCCTGAGACAGAGTCTCATGTGGGTTAGCCTTAAAGTCTACATATATCTTTGGATGACCTTAAACTTCTAATCTACCCACCTCCAACTCCGGAATGCTGGGATTATAGGTGTATACCACCATACCAGGTTTATGTGGTGCTTGGAATCCAACCCAGGGCTTCTCACGTGCTAGGCAAGCCCTCCACCAGTGCTAATCATAGCCATATTAATGTAAGAATTTTGTTAGATGTCTCTTGGGGGAGCATTGAGACACGGTCTCATTGTGCAGCCCTAAGCTGGTCTGGAACTCGCGATTTAGACAAGGCTGGCCTTGAACTCGTAGAAATTCACCTGCTTTGGAGTGTACCGCTAAGCCTGTCTGATAAATGTTTTTCAAATATAGCGCTCTCAGTCAATAATAGCTTCCTGTCATGGCAGTCTCATTGTTTAGAAGGCGCCATGTTGAGAGCTTTGCGGCATAGTTAGCTTAGTGCTCACGACAACCCTGTAAGAAGGCTGTTACCTGCCTTGTGGGCAGTGGTGGCACACACCTTTAATTCCAGCTCTCAAAGCAGAGGCAGGTGAATTTCTGAGTTCAAAGCCGGCCAGGTCTACAGAGTGAGTTCCAGAATGGCCAGGGCTACACAGAGAAACCCTGTCTTAGGAAAAGGGAAAAAAAAATTATTACTTGCCTCTTACTGATTAGGAAACTAAACTCGGAACATGTTTTCCTAATGTTTATTTTATTTTTAATTCTATGTACATATGTGTGCGTGTGTGTATGCATACGAGTACAGTTGCCCGTGGAAACCAGAAAAGGGCGTTGGGTCCCTGAAGCTAGATTTACTGTGGTTGTTAACCAACCTGATATGGGTGCTGGGAACTAAACTCAGGTCCTCTGCAAGGCCAGAAAATGCCCTTGAACCTCTGATACATCTCTCCAGCCCTAGAAACTATATTCAGATAAGTGCTATTTAGAGGAATAATCGAAAGGGTTCAACCAAAGACATGAATAATAAATATGGTTTCTTGTTGGCTGTTTTGACCGTGGCTTGGGATGATATAAATTCTAAGAAGGTTTTCTACAGGGTCAACATATCCTTGGATAGGAATGTTGGGCAAGACAAGAGAATTTTGAAGCTACGTTTACACAACATGTAAAATGACACAAGTTTTATTTTCCTCTAAGACTGAGACTCTTTGAAAACCACCGAGTACTGTAGTACTGAATTTCCATCACACTTAGGGCAAATTAAATAAAATGCCTGTCCTAGAGCAAGTCCTAAGGATTCATGGGGTCAATGTTGCTACATACCTGTTTCCAGGGGCACACTGTAGCTGGGCAGGCTCTTTCCCGCCTGAGTTTCGGCCACAGCACTGACAGAGAACACGGAACCACAGGGCAGGCCCCCGATCATGCAGGTCTCCCCTGTGCTGCTACACTGGAACAGCCCCTTCTTCCCCTGGGCAGTCACGGTGTAAGTGGCACCTTCGTTCGTTGATCGCCAGTGCACATTAATCGTGGAGAATGCATCCTTTGAAATATGTTTTATTTCAGGACTGCAAGGAGCTAAGAAGTGTTAGATTATTAATTAAAACACCAGAGTCAAAAATACTATACATGCCCTTTGGTTTAAAACGGGCTTCCTCTCCTTACCTCCCCTTCCCAGGCCCCCTGCACCTCCAGCAACAGACCCTAGGGCTCAGGATATGGTTTAAGTGGTGGAGGGCTTGCCCAGCACATACCAAGCCCTGGGTTTTATCCCTTGCACTGTATCATCTAGGCTGGTAAGCACACCTAGAATCCCAGCGTTTGGGAGGCAGAGGTAGGAGGATCAGGAGTGCAGGATCGTCCTGAGCTGCACAGTGAGACTGGCCAACCTGGGCTCCACTAGACCCACTTCAAAAAAGAAAAGCACGTTGAAGTGGAGCCAGGTGTGATGGTTTATGCCTATAATCCCAGTACCTGCAAGCGGAAGCAGGAGGATTGCTGCGAGTTTAAGGCCACCCTAAGTTAAAGAGACCCTATCTAGTAAATAAATAAGTTTTCTTTTTTAAAGAAAGATCTCCTGGTAGGGGAAGGGATAAACAAGAAAATGACGTAGTGCTAAAATGCATTATGTGTGTATGAAATTGTGGAAGAATATTCTTTTGAGAAATCAAAACTATGGCTTTCAGTCATATCCGCATATAGGTCAAATTCACAGAACTTTTTTTTTGCAGAAAAATGTTGACATTGGCATAGAGTATTAGGTTCCTGCTGTTTGGGGCCAACTGGAAAATAAAACATTTTGAACTTCAAAATCCAAAATAACCAGGACAAATATCTGCATTCCTCATGAGCAGGCAGTCCGTCCCCAGTGGCAACAGGAACCCGATGGCTGAGGTCAGTAATCCCTGCCCCAACTCCCCTCAAGGTGATCTCTTCCTGCCCCCGCCCCCCTTTCCTTCCTAACTTTCTTCCCTGCCTCTCCTCAATTCAATAATGGAAGCTAAATCTGGGGTGGATGGGAGTTGGGAGTGTTCATTTTTCTCCCGAATCCAGGTTTGGGTTCCAATTCCTAGAGCTGTAATTCCAATCCCTGCCCTGGCCTGGGCTGCCTCAGGCAATACATGCCTGAGCGTGGGTTTGGATACATGCTTGCAGTGCCTACAGAAGCCAGAAGAGGGCACCAGATCACTGGATCTGGAGCTACGTGAGCTTGTGAGCCTCCTGATGTGGGAGCTGGCAACTGACCTATCCTCTGTAGGAGCAGGAAGACTCTCAACAACCGAGCCACCTCTCCAGCCCCCTCTTGTGTAGGTCTTGCTGAATAGCCCTCCTGAGGCTCACAGCAAGGATGACGGTTTAGACACCGGTGAATGACAGCCGAGTGGTACCGTACCCGTGGTGATGTAGTGTGACGAGCAGGACAGATTGCTGCCCCGGATCTCACTGAAGGAGTACACGGTGATGTTGTACTTAGTGTCACAATCCAAAGCCGAGAGCGTGCAAGCAGGAGCCGTGTCGTTGCACTCCACCACGCTGTACCCAGCTATGGCCTTGGTTTCATAGAGCTCAGCACCGCGCACAGGAGACCAGGCGATTTCCACTCTGTCGCTGGACACCAACACTGCGCTAATGTCGCTAGGACAGCAAGGCGCTGCAAGCAGGAGCCCAGAGGGGGAGGTTGAGTCTTGACCGCCCTATGGCCAGCCCTCCTCCACTGCCTGATCAGCTTCCACCTCCATCTCATTCCCACTGCACCTGGGCAGATCCTCTGCTGTGACACCCAAGGGCACATCAGATCAGATCTCCCAGGTCTACACCCGACCTTTGCTCTCACTCCTCTATAGACTTTTGGGCTCTCTGCTAGAAAACCTGATCTCTTCTGCCTGATAAAGTCATACTGAGCCTGAGTCCTCAGCCCCTGTCAGTCTGTTAGACCCTAAACCAGATAAAGATGGGGTGTGAGTGTACAGAGATGAGGACTGTACAAGTAGCTCTTAAAGGAGGCCCAAAAAACCCCAGCTAGAGATTTCTCGGTCTTTCCCACCTACATTCCATCCATTCTTGAACTCCCGGTCAAGGCCACTCCTGCTTGTTCAATTTATGTGATAAATTCTACCTTGTTGACTGCCTCTTCTAAAGTTCCCAAAGCACCAATTATTCAGATCCCTCACCCTGGTAGAATTTATCACAGTCCGCCCTTAGAACACTTTACAATTATAATACTCTATAAATAATTCATTTCAAGAAACCCACTCAACTGTTCTCTAAAGATCTAGTATCTTTCTACGCTACTAGCACTGGGATTAGCACGGATGACAGCGAAACAGATAGAGCACATTCCCTGCCCTCCCACCCCGACAGATCCAAGCCAAGGGGAGGAGGATGGCCGTGATGGTCACCAAGCTAACAGATGCTAACAGTGACATTCCGCTCTATCACATATAAAGACCTGTCCCCCACCAGTGTTGTTATTGTCTGTCCCATTGCGCTGTGGCGGAAGGATGCTGAGGGAATTTAGGCACAAGTCGTTATCCCTACTGTCTAAGTGAGGTAGAGTCAAGCCTGGACTTCATCTTAGGTGTCCTACTACAGAGCCCTCCACACCACGAAGCATCTGCCATGTCCAGGGAAGGACTGTGATCCTGAAACGGAGGAAACTGTGGCCCCTCGGGGCCTCAAACAGGCCTGAGGTCTGAGTGAGAACTTTGTGGAAGGCCCAGGTTTTCAGGGGAGGGTTGAACAAATGCCTTCCCCCTCCATCCCCACTTCTCAGCCTTGCATTCTGGTTAGACTGGGTCTCCAAAGCCAGTTCATCGCTACTCTGAAAAAAGCACGAGAGACGAGGGTTTTAACGGCTACTCTCGGCCCTCAAACAGCTCCGGGATGGTGAAGTGGTACACACAGGAGGTGTCCATCCTGTTGCTGAGTTTACCGCACGCAGAATCCCCGTTACCAGCATCAACCGCGACTTACCTGTGGTGTAGTTGAACACGTCGCCCAGGGGGCTCTGCCCCGCGGTGTTGTAGGCAAATACGCTGATGAAGTACGTGAAGCCGCACTCAGACAGGAAGTGGCACCGAGTGAGGGAGGTATTGCAGTGTACTTCCAGGCCGTCGTCACTCTTCACGAACGCCACGTAGTAATCACCCAGCTCTACATTAGACCAAGCCACAGACAAGTGACCAGGAGGGGCTTCTTGGATTGTCACTCTTCCAGGTGCACAAGCCACTAGGAAACAATCGGAAAGAAGCAGTCATGTGACCATTGCAGGAGACTTTCCTTTGCATCTTGGCAGTTATCTGAGATGTCAAGACAACCCAGATCAGCAGCTCTGAGTTCTGTAACAGATTGAGTTTGATGCAAAACATGCAGAACCGCGAACCAGAAACATTGGGAGATATTTTTGTAGAAACAAAGACTATGCTAAACACCAATGATCTCTCTTAATTCTTTCATTATAATGAATGTTATTTGAAATGCTAGGCCATTGGAAGTGTTTATTTGAACACTTCTGGACTTCTTCTGTACCTCAGGCTTCAGTAAGACTTACTAGATATCCCAAGGATGACCTTGAACTTCTGATCGTCCTGCCTGCGTCTCCTAGGTGTCTGGATTACAGATGTGAACCACTACACCAGCTTTTTATGTGCTTCTGGGGGTCAAATCCAGGGCTGTGTGAATGTTAGACAGACACTTTTCCAACCAACCTATATCCCCAGCATAGCCCATGGGAGTTTGGGAGTCAACTTAAAATGTGTGGATTTTGTCAGGTGTGTGTGGGAGGGGTGTGTGTGCTTTTAATCCCGGTATTTGGGAGGCAGAGGCAGGAAGATCTCTGTGAGTTTGAGGCCAGCCTGTTCTACTGTGTAAGTTCCAGGACAGCTAAGACTATATAGAGAGAGACTTTGTCTAAGGAAGAAAGTGTGGGTTTTCATTTTTAGAATATTTATGGAGAGATTTTGGCTTTATTCAGTGATGAAGACTTTTTGATGGGAGCCAAACAGTAAATATCTGTAAGTTATCTTTTTTGAGGTAAAAATAGACCCATTATGTCTTCTGCTAACACCTTCTATTACTTTCACAGTAATTACCAGTTTACAAGTGAGTAAAATGAAGCCCACAGAGGATAAGTGAGTTGCCCCAGGTAATACAGCTAGAAAGGTAAGGCGTGGTTTGTATAAGCACAGCCCCTGCATGCTCATACATTTGAATGCTCAGTCATCAGGAGTGGCACATTTGAGAAGGCTTAGGGGGTGTGGCCTTGTTGGAAGAAGTGTGTCATTGTGGGTGGGATTTGAGGTTTCAAAAGCCCACGCCAGGCAGGGCGGTGGTGGCGCACGCCTTTAATCCCAGCACTTGGGAGGCAGAGGCAGGCGGATCTCTGTGAGTTCGAGACCAGCCTGGTCTACAGAGCTAGTTCCAGGACAGGCTCCAAAGCCACAGAGAAACTCTGTCTCGAAAAACCAGAAAAAAAAAAAAAAGCCCGCACCAGGCCGAGTTCTCTCTTGATGTAGCTCTCAGGTGCTGCTACAGTGCCATGTGTGCCACCAAGTTCCGCCGTGACGATAACGAACTAAGCCTCTGAAACTGTCAGCCAGCCTCCAGTGAAATGCTTTCCTTTGTGAGAGTTGCCATGGTGACGGCGTCTCTTCACAGGAGTAGAGCAGTGACTAAGACACAGGGGTAACGGGGTCTTTCTGGGGTTTCGTACAAAGCCACGATAGAATGGAGAGTTCTGACCGAAGCCTTCTATGCACTCAGTGGCAGGACACCCCAGAGCCCATTCTGTCTCCAGAGAACGTCCCGTGCAGATAGTTAAAATGCTAGGTGCTCAGACGAGTTCCAACGCAAACGCTAAGCACAACTTGGTGCAAACCAAGGAGATGTGCTCAGATGCACTCAATTTTTATTTCATACGATGCTACACTGTCTCTTCTAGACACGGATCTCCTTGACTAATGTTGCTTGGGTTTTTCCGTCAAGGCAATAGTTCTTTTATCTAAGACCAGCAAGGACCGAAGTCTTGTGAAGGAATGATTTCAAGTGAAGGCCATCCATCCAATCCACAAGCTTTTAAAAGTTTTGTCATCTCTAAAAAAGTCCTATAGACCTAATTAGCTAGAGTTCACATTTCGGGGCCCTAGGAAATTAAAATCCTTTCTAAACATCCTTTCTTCTGTTGATAACTCAAGGTTTTCTCATGATCAGAACTGATTATGTCATATCCACACTACAGTGGTAACTCCTGGACCAGTAAGGGCAGGACCTGAGAGTTGGAAGGACTCTTTCGGCCGCACTTAACACCGCCAACATGTTGAAAATCAATTGGAGAGCTTTTAAAGAGTATTCTATTGAGACTCTATTCCCAGAAATCCCAATTTAACTGGTCCTGGTGGGACCTGGGTATTTAGATTTTATGAGCATCCCCGAGATGTTTTTGTTATGCATCTGAATTTAAAAACGCAGGATGGTTCTTCCCCGTATTACACTGCTCACTCAGAATGTCTGTGTCATTGAAGTGTTCATCTCTCCCTTCACCCTTGGCCACTGTCTTCAGGGTCACTTTTTCCGTACCTGCTTCATGAACTTGTAATTGTCAAAAGAGAAGTCTAATCACCTAACTTGTGTTGGTGCCCTTAGTTTAACGTAACTCTAAGAAGTTGTGGATCTGAGGGTTTGACTGTGTTTCCCCCCTTGAAGAAGAGAGGACATCAGTTTGGGGGAGCTCCAGTCCTCTGTACAGGGTCCTTTTCTCCTTACAGAGACATAGTTCTAACCTTGAATAGAGTGGACATTGTTACACTGTCTTCAGCCCAGACGGTGGAGGTCAGGCAAGCGTGAGCACAGATCTCGGCTGCACCAGAGGAAAACAGCCTTCAGTGTCTCTGAGCTTCAGCTTCGCATCTAAAAGGAAGAGCCAGGCCAGACCTGGGGGTGCAGCACTTGGGAGATGGAAGCTGGAAGGTCAGGAGTGCGAGGCCAGACTCAGCTGCGGAAGGGACTCCGAAGCCAGCCTGAGCTTCGCTAGACCCTGATTCCAACAAATAGGCAAAACATAGCAAAAAGAGGAGACGACTCACAAAATTATCCTGAGACTTAAGGAGTGGAATTATGGTGCCTGAGATTTAGTAGATCCCACTAAATGTTAGCTCCACCTCCCAGAGCTCCATGTTTATGTCTTTACATTTCCACCAAGAATAAAACTTGGGAAATGCTGAAACACATTTAGAGCTAGAAATTTCCCATCTTTAGTTTTAAGAAGAGCTACTACCAAGTCTTAATTGCGAAACATGTCAAGAAGAGACAGGGACTGGGGAGATGGTTCTCTCTTCAGCCATGAGAACCCCAGTTTGAATCCCTAGAATCGCACAAAATCTGAGCATGGCTGCACATGTGTGTGAGCCCAGCATCTGTAGATGGAGACAGGAAGATCTTCCAGACTCACTGGGGTTCAATGAGAGATGGCTGAGTCCTTGCCAAGGCCAGAAGGCAAGCCTGATGGGGAGAATACTGGACGTCTTGCTCTGGCCTCTGTGAGCACACATGTGGCTGCCAGCATCCTCACATGTACATTTGTGCACACACATACCACACATGTACTTACACACATGAAGGACCAGTTAGTTTCTGTAAATAAAAACTGGATCTTAGAATTTTCAAAACTTTTAAAAATTAAGACGGCAAGTGGTTACAATGATGACCACCTTAGCCCCAGCTGTTGTAGGAGGCTCTCTTGAGCCCTGGAATTCCAGATCAGCTTGAATAGCAAGGCCAGACCTTGTCTCAAAAAGTAAAAGAAAATAGCATCTAATGAAATCAGAAAAAGATGAAAAAGAAAAAGAATGAGGGGCTGGAGAGATGACACAGTGGTTAAGAGCACTGGCTGCTCTTCCAGAGGACCTGGGTTCAATTCTCAGTACCCACATGGCAGTTCACAACTGTCTGTAACTCCAGTTATGGGGGCTCCAACGCCCTCACACAGACATACATGTAGGGAAGACACCAATGCACATAAAATAAATACATTTTTTAAAAAGGAGAAAGAGCCGGGTGGTGGTGGCGTTTAATCCTAGCACTCGGTAGGCAGAGGCAGGCGGATCTCTGTGAGTTCGAGACCAGCCTGGTCTACAAGAGCTAGTTCAGGCTCCAAAGCTACAGAGAAACCCTGTCTCAAAAAAAAAAAAAAAAAAAAAAGAAAGAAAGAAAGAAAGAAAGAAAGAAAGAAAGGAAAAAGAACAAAAGACAGGAATAGAGGCCAAGTCTGTGAATAGTCAGAGAAGTACTGTTTAGCAATCTATAAGACATGCTTCTCTGTCGGTATTATTCAGTCACCGAAATCCTCAGCTCAATACTTTCATTTAGGCCAGGGTTAGCTTTCCTTTTCCTTTTTTAAAAAGGTTATTATTATTATTATTTATTATATTGTGTGTGTAATGTGCTGGGGGAGGGTGCCTCAGCATGAATGTGGAAGGCAGACCCAACTTTGTGGAGCTGACCTCTTTATACCTCTGTGTGGGTTCCTGGATTGAACTCAGGTTTGTGCAGAAAGCATCTTTACTCACTGAGCCATCCTGACTGCCTCTCTTTACCTTTTTTTCAGACAAGGTCTTGCTAGGCAGCCCCGGCTGGTTTAGTACTCAGTAGGTAGCCCAGCCTGACCTGAAACTCGCGGTAGCCCTCCTGCTTCAGCCTCCCAAATGTTGGGATTACAAATATGTGTCCGTCTTAGACCAGACTTGGTTTGTCACTGCCTCCAGAATATTTTAGGAGCTTGCTGGGGATTTCTGTTCCCCGCATGCAGCCACTCTGATCTCCAGCCCAGCAGAGCTTTCCGTCTTTCTCACGTACCAGTTTTCAGGGTCGCGGCAGAGGAGGACCGGCTGGAGCCAGCGTCATTGCTGGCTGAGACAGAAATCAGGTACTCGGTTCCGCACTGCAGGGAGCTGAGGCTGCAGGAACTGAGAGCCGTGCTGCAGCTCCGCTGGGAAGACTCGCTGGACGCCAACACAGTGTAGTTGAACGCTCCTTCTGTTGGTGTCCAGGAAACAGATGCCTTCAAGGCCCCGCTGTCAAAGAGGACTTGAACGTTGGCAGGGGCGCGAGGACCTGTGTTTTTGAGAAACAAGAACCTGTGTAAGATTTAGCTTAGTAATATTGAGGTCTTCAGGAGATACGAGACCCTAGTAGCTAGAGAACGTTAAGTTGTTCAAAGCATAAAATTGGGACTTAGTGTATCTGGGAATTGGTAACACAATGGCCGTTACTGTGCAAAATCATTCTGAGCTATGCAACCTTGGTCATATTACTTAATCTTTTTTTGCGTTTGTAAAAATTGATATAAGAGCACTATTTAACCTATAACTGACATTTAAAAGCATACTTTGAATGCATGAATATACTACCTAACAAGTGGTGAAGAATAACATTGGAGAAGCCTAGGATGATGGTATAATTCCAGTCCTTGGGATGCAGAAGGAGGAACATTGGAAGCTCATGCCTATCTGTGCTACATAGCGAGACTCTGTGTCAAAAAGACCAAGCAACCAACCGAACAAGAACAAAATGAGTTCATATATGTGAGTTTGTTATCACATGGCAGGTCAAATGCACACACACACTCCCTATTCTCCAGTCTGGCATTTATTTTACACACACACACTCCCTTATTCTCCAGTCTGACATTTATTTTACACACACACACACACACACACACACACACACACGCTCCCTTGCTCCCTGATTCTCCAGCTTAGGAGCACCACACCCACCCCCCC